TAGTTATTGAAACCATGTTTTCATTTATCTTTTAAATTAATGCTTAAGAATGGTAACTAAAAAGATTGGCTTTTTTAAAGTAGGCTTAAATATGCTTTCACCCGCTGCATATATAAAACTTTTTTGTGACAATCTCTACAATTTATTCATCTATGCAATATACAATTTCTTTCTCATTTCAAGGTTTTCATACTTTTTTTGCGGTCACAGCTCTCTTTTAAACATTGATTTTGTCCAACAATTTTTATCAAATCTGAATTCAATTGTTACAGTACAATAGAGCTTAAAAAATATTGACACTTGCATAACTCTACACTAAGCTTTCCACATCAGTTTTTATAACTGTTTTGAGACTAGTAGTGGAGTTGAAACTAAGAAAACTTATTCATTCACGTTTTTAATATAGATTTCAACAATACTCGGAAATTAAGTTTTTAAGTATTTTTGGGCTGAATTGGAAACAAAGAAGAAAATGTTTTAGTCATGTTTGTTTCCTTGTCAAATATAGGTTTTGTATGTCAATGAGAGAGAAAAAAAGAAAAATAACATTAAATTACACAAAGAAAATAAAGCAATTTGGCGGAGAGATTAAAGAGAAAAGTACACAATATACTCTCTTTGCAAGGTTTAAAACACATTTAAGCCTAAAACTATGTGACTTAATTTATGTCCTGTTCGTTGGGCATAAGAAAGTAGTGCACACAAAGAAAAGTGAAAGTATGTAGATGACATTGAATTAGTAAAGTATGAACGGTTTTGAATGACATGCATATTTCCAAATGTGGTATTAGACAAATTTACCGGTAGTGAGACATGCGATGAAGAAAATGAGACAAAGATTGTGGGCGGGTATGGTAAGAAAGTTACCAATGCAAATATATTTCTAATAATAAATTCACGTTGCAATAAACATGCTTACATGAGACTGAACATGTCAAGATTTGATTTGTGAGGACCATATCAAAATAGACCGCATTAAATTAGACCAAATTGGATCGGATCAAACTAGATCAAATCAAACTGTACAAAACTAGATTGGATCAAGCCAAACCACTTCAGACCATTAAATGGTTCCAGAAAGTTATATGATGATATGAACAATGATATATAACGTGCCTTTTGTTTGCACAATTATTCAAGTACAATACTTATCCTCTACTTTTAACTCTACAGTTTCCCAAAAGTAATACTAGAAAGAAAACATATAATTATAGTAATAATATTCACATTTGAAGTTTTAATAATTGTTGAAGTTTTAATTTTGTGCTCGTCATACCTATCAGAGCAATCTCCGGGAATTTTCTTTCTTTCACTCCCCAAGCGAAAGCTAAGCCGTATCAGGACAATGCAGTGACCATAAGCCTTTACCTCTCCTATAGTGGGAGAGAGGGCAATCTTCTTCTGGGAAATAGCATTCACGCATTTACTATTAAAAACCCCTTATTCTTTGGTTTGGAGAGTCAAGCTGCCATTTTGGTTATGAACTCTCTCATTTCGATGTATGTAAGGTGCGGTGAATTGCTAGATGCAATTAAGGTGTTTGAGACTATGCTTGCGAGAGACATCGTCGCATGGAACTCAATAATTTCAGGTTTCATAAGAAATGGGTATTTCAAAATAGGATTTGAGTATTTTAAAGATATGGTTAGTATGGGAGATGAATGGATTGATCATGCTAGTTTGACTACCATTTTATCAGCTTGTGATGGGCCTCAATTTCTTGTGATCAACAAGATGGTCCATGGATTGGTGTTTTTTAGAGGTTATGAGCGGGTGATTTCTGTGGGAAATGTTTTGGTTACTTCATATTTTAGATGCGAGTGTTTTGACTCGGGGAGGCGAGTTTTTAATGAGATGATTGATAGGAATGTTATTACTTGGACATCTATTATATCGGCGCTTGCAAGGAATGAGTTTTTTGATGAAAGCTTGAAACTTTTTGATGAATTTCGGAAGGGTTCCGATGTTCCTAACCACTTGACATATTTGAGTGCATTATTAGCATGTAGTGGCATCCGAGCACTCAGGAAAGGTTGTCAGATCCATGCAATTGTTTGGAAATTGGGATTTCAATCAAATTTGTCAATAGAGAGTGCACTTATGAATATGTATTCAAAGTGTGGAAGTGTAGAGGGAGTTTGGCGAATTTTTGAGTCTGCCGTGGTGCTTGACACGGTCTCTTTGACTGTCATCCTTGTAGCTTTTTCCCAAAATGGATTTGAAGAGGAGGCTTTGCAAATTTTCATCAAAATAATGAAATCAGGAATTGACATTGACTCAAATATGCTTTCATCCATTCTTGGGATTTTTTGTAGTGATACAATTTTAGGTCTTGGAAAACAAGTTCACTCTCTAATTGTCAAGAAAGGGTTCTCTCACAATCCCTTCCTTGGAAATGGGCTAATTAACATGTACTCCAAGTGTGGTGAATTGCAAGAATCTGTCGAAGTTTTTTATCAGATGCCTTTTAGGAATCCAGTTTCATGGAACTCTTTGATTGCAGCTTTTGCTCGACATGGTCACGGTTTTAAAGCACTTGAGTTGTATGAAGAAATGATATCGGCTGCTGTTGAGCCGACCGATGTTACCTTTCTTTCATTGCTTCATGCTTGTAGTCATGTTGGTTTAGTAGAGAAAGGAATGGAGGTTTTCACATTCATGCAGAGCGTCTATGGAATGATTCCTAGGATGGAACACTATGCATCTGTGGTTGATATGCTTGGAAGATCAGGACTTTTAAATGAAGCAAAATGCTTCATCGAGAGGCTACCAATAAAGCCTGATGTACTACTTTGGCAGACACTACTTGGTGCTTGTAGTTTTCATGGAAATACTGATATCGGAATGCATGCTGCACAAGAGTGGCTTTTAGCTTTGCCGAATGGTACTCCCGTTCCATATGTTCTGTTGGCTAATATACATTCTTCCAAAGGGAAATGGAAAGAAAGAGCAAAAATTGTCAAAAAAATGAAAGAAACTAGGCAAGCAAAAGAGACCGGGATAAGTTGGATGGAAATTGAAATGAAAGTTCACAGCTTTGTAGTCGCTGATCAGATGCATCCACAATGTGACACTATTTATTCTGCATTGTTGGAGTTATATAGACACTTGGAAGATGAAGAGGCCATTGTATTGTATGAATTCTGATGAATAGAAAATGTCAGGGATTTGCAATATTTCTAACCACAAGCCTAGTGAAATGGATCTCAAAATCGTAGAATAAGCAAGTATATGAAGGTAATCATGTAGTTAGGTATTTGTTTTTTCATTTTTTGCCCATTTGAGTCTCTTAATTGGAAGGGGTGGTTTCAAGGAGCATTTACAAGATTTAACAGTAGGTTTACCAAAATGAAAAAGAAATGAAGATAAAAACCAACTTTAGAAACTTCTACAGAGTTATTGCTCAATATGTAATTGACTACAATTTAGGGTTCCTCATGTCCAGTCTATCTGAGAAATAATTCATTGAAAATGAAGCAACCCAAATTCATGATAGATTTATGATATTCTCTAATAGAAAACTAAAAAAACTTTGCACTTTTGGGCTTGCATGACACATGCCTTAAGTTAGTCTCTATTCTCTCTGAGTGAGGCCTTCAACTGGGTGAGTTAATCACATGGAATAGTGTCCATTCATGTCGTTTGATTCATAGTTTTTTGTGTTTACTTTTTTCTAGAGCATTACAACAACAATAACATTATCCCAGTGTTACCTCACCTGACCGGGTTTTACCACTACCAGGCTACCAGCTATAATTTCTATAAATCAGTAATTGGACACAGATAGGGGTGGACTCGGGTTGGACTGCCCAGCCCGGAACCAGCCCGGTGCAGTACTGCTTGGGCCCGGCCCGGACAGGTTGGCCAGTCTTCGGGCTGGTTCAGGCCTACCGAACTGCTCATATCCCAGGGTGGGCTTGGGTCTCCTAAAAGTGGAATCGGCCCAGGTTTAGTAATACTTTTTTATTTAGTCTAGAAAAAGTCCCCTAGCGTGAAAACAATGATAGTAGCTGACGGCATATGCAGGTGCTGTGGGAAGGATTAAAAACCTACGGTGTTGCAAAGAACAAAAAGGTGGGGTGCTGTTAAAGACTTGAATGGACGGTTGCACAAGGGCTAATGGCATATACAATTCCTGTGGATTTTTATATATTTTTTTTTTGCAGTTGCTTTGAGTCTATCTGTGATTTATCATCTATTATCTGCTATGTGACAACATTACATTTGTAAGGTGTACTTTCTCTTCCTTCATAGTTCATCCCCCAAAGGAGCAGAGTTCAGTTGCAAGAACATTTTTTGTCTATATATATATATATATATATATATATATATATATATATATATATATTTACATAAAAAGCTGAAAATGCAAAATAACCTGGTGAGCTAACATATAGAAACGAAAAAGCATTACACAAGAACAGCCATGAAAAAACAGTCTGCCACGTGCGGACCATAGTCGGACCATAGTTCAGTTGCAAGAACATTTTTTGTCAATATATATATTTACATAGAAAGCCGAAAATGCAAAATAACCTGGTGAGCTAACATATAGAAACGAAAAAGCATTACACAAGAACAGCCATGAAAAAACAGTCTGCCAGGTGCGGACCATAGTCCATAAATGATCACAAAAACAGAAGTTTCTTTTGGGTGGAAAGATAGAGAGCTAGCTGATAGCCTGATAATGATCAATTAATACCTGATTATCCCCCATCCTCCCCTAATATCACTCACTCCTTGCTTCTATTAGCTACAAACACATACTTTTATATGTAATTCTATATAGACTAAACTCAATTATTGGCTATAGAAAATTTTAACTATTTTTTGTGAAAATTAATAATTTAAATGAGTGATTGTTTTTTTAAATTAATCCATTCGTAGCTAAAATATGTACCAATGATGTAATTAATTTACAGTGCTGTGGCTGCCACCAATCTGATCACGGCGTAGAATTTACAGATATTTCTTGTGTCAAACTTGGCTGGTCCACATGTGAAGAAGGAAGGACAAGGTGCTGCAACGGTCTTAATGCCACACTTAATTCTGCAAATGATGGCCGTAAATTTGGATCCCTGTATTTTAAAAACGATTTATAAATAGTGTGCACTAATTTCCTATGTAAATGTAAAACAGTAAAAACACTATCGAGTAACTTTTGAAACTTGTGGTTATTTTTTTCCGGTACATCAAAAAAATCCCAGTTACTCAATGGAGAGGGATTTAGTAGAGGTAACAGGGGCGTTCTAGTACCTGGGTCAGTACATTATAGATCAAGTGAACCAGTAGATAGATAAATAGGACGGGTACATATTACTCACATTTGCCAACATTCCCATATTATCCTAGCCACATGAGGGTCAAGTTCTTTGGGGATTTCAAGACGCCGATTTTGGAAACCAACTGCACCTACAACTTGCATAGGGTTCATCCCACTCCATGGTAATCTCATAGTCGCAAGCTCCCAGAGAATAACACCAAAGCTATAAACATCACACCTATTATTCATGTAGCAGTTCCATAAATGTAATTTACACTCCTCAGGACAGTAATATACCCGTCATTTCAAGGTTTCCAAATAAACGTAATAAAGCGTATCTTTATGCCTTTTTTAGGTTTCAAAATATACAAGACAATTCACAAATCTTGTGCACTATTTTATTCATTTATTCCAAAGTTGTTCTTAGCCCTATTTATAAAAACTCTATTTCCATAAAGATTATGATTTTATTCATTTATTCCATAATTGTTCTTAGCCCTATTTATAAAAACTCTATTTCCATAAAGATTATGATTTGGTAGGTACGGGATGGTCATTAATAACACCTGTCCTGCCACCCCAAATCACGTCCTTTTGAAAGCTAAGGAATCGGTACCACACCTATCCAAGAGTCATTGCTCAACCTAAGATGACTAGAAGCTCCAGAAAACACTCGATGAAAGAAACTAAACAAAAGGAAGGGAACAAATCCAGATCACTGTGACAGCACCAAAACAAAGCTAAGGATATGAAAAAAACCCTCATCCAATATCAAGACAGCGGGTTGCTAACCCTAGATGCCCAGGGAGGAATATATACTTCTTAAAGTGTATCAATTTTTTTTAAACATTTTTTTTTTAAATTATCGCATTCTAAGAAGGGGAGCCTTGGCACACCGGTTAAGGGGTGTTGCTGTCACTGTGTGACTGAGAGGTCAAGGGTTGAGTCTTGGGAGTGGCTTTTCGTCAAAAATGACAAGGGGAGGCTTGATCCTTATACACCCTTGTAGTTGGAGCCCCCATACCCTTGCTTTCTCCTTGTAGGAATGCCAATGTGCACTGGGCTGGTCCCTTTCATCACATTCTTTTTCAGAACTTGAAAACAAAGCACCTCACTTTCTTATTAACATGTTACCATGGACACACATTACAAAAAAAACCTATAAATATGATTAATATTTGAAACAGAGGGAGAAGTAATTCTTCGATTGCAACATCAACCAACACCACTTTTAGAAACACTGTCTTTGGGAAAAGGGTCAAATAGACCCTTGTACAATTGTAGATTGGTCACTTAAGCCCATGCACTATAAAAACCATCATATGAATCCATTTACTTTAAAAGACAATCAATTGAGCCAAATTACCTGAAGGTAACCTTTAATAGCAGGTTATCCTACTTCTCTTCTCCCATATTTATTTATTTTCGTTTTTTTTTTATTTCCTTAGGCCGCGTAGTCCCTCACTCCCACAACCCAACCTTCATCGTCATTTTCTTCTTTGTTTCTTGTTTTTAATTTTTCGTTTTACTTGTTTTCTTCTTTTTTTTCGCATCATTTGCAATGGAGCCAAAGATTCATTATTTTTTGGCTTGAGAATATGATGGAATAAAGCAAAATGGCTCACTAAACTGTCTGCGCTTCTTTGTTATGAAGCAGCAGTCAGTCCATGCAATTTCGGACGCGATTTTCCCTATGGGTCATCCGGAAACAGTCTCTCTGTGCTTTAGTACAGTGGTAAGACTGCGTACATCCGACCCCCCCTTACCCCACCGTAGGTGGGAGCCTTTGCGGCACTGGGGTAAATGAAAATGAAAATGAAATGACTTGTTTTCTTCTTTAAGTTTTCCCATCTTTTTTCTTTTAATTCATTTTTAATTCCTCGTGGTCGTCCCTCCATGGATGTATGTCGCGGGATTACAATCATCGTCCGTTCCTCCAAATCGTCGGCGCCTCATGAGAAATGTACAACAATTGATGATGATGGCAAAGGTGAAGAAGACAACAGGAATCGTCAAGCTAGAGGTGATGCAAAATGGAAGTTTTGGTAAGTAGAAGAACAAGAGTACAAGACACACACTTTGACGTGTGAAATGCAGCCGTTGCAGCTTCCGGCCACCTCCAAATGAGTCGGTGTTCCTCTTGTTCCTCTTGCTCCAAATTATGCATTTCACGCATCAGAGAAAGACTATTGGAAGTTGGAACTGGCCGCATGAGGTATCTCCTCATTATGCCGGCAGATTCACATCCAATTTCAGAGAACGAAAGGTGGCAACTCCATGGAACAAGGGAGCGGCAGTAGCCTCTTAAATTTCATCTCTGCTTTTTTTGCAAAGCTTTTTTTTTTGCTTCTAAAGCTTGCCCTACTTTTATCAAAAACTGTGTCTCTTTAATTGTAATAGACTATCATTTGACGTCAATAGAGTTGGGATTGAAGGTTATACATATAAAGACTAAAGAGAGAGATTAAAAATGGCAGCTGCTAGAAGGAAGTTGAGACGGGATGCGGAGAATGAAGAAAAGGAAAGAGAAGAAAATGAAAAGAAATGGAAAAAGAAAAGTCAAATTTGCTCTTAACCTGCTAAGAGGGTTGCTTCCCGGTAAACTTGACTATATTGAATGTTTTTAAAGAGTAAAGGTGTTTAAGTGATACTTTTATTAGTATTGAAACCCCAGGAATTAGGGGATTCCTAGGGTTTCTTTATTCCTAAAATTTAGAGCACCTTCCTTCCATACACCGGGGGGAAAGGAATTGGATGAATTCCTGACATATAAAACTAGATTTTATCTATTTCCGTTTAATTTTATTCACAGTAATCCACACAATCAATCCAAACTAGGCCAAAAATGGATCATTCCATGGTATTGACACTGATGTGAAGATTAAATAGGAGCAACATATATTGATTCAACATCGAACCTGGAAGGGATAACAAGTAAATGAGCAGTTTAACACTCACTTTTCATTTGAAGGTTCATTACGTAGAACTTCTGGCGCCATCCACTCGGGCTACAGGGGTTAAAATTTAAAACAAGTGCATAAAGATATGTAGCAAAAATTGGATAATAAAAAAACAAACTCATGGAATAAAATTATAGGAAATTCTTACTGTTCCTGCAGTTGACTTGGATGACAGGAAAGTGTTATGCTTTAAGCGTGACAAGCCAAAGTCACACACCTATATTAAAAGACTTAGCGTATATACAAAAACATTAAGCACATACTTATAAATGAAGAAAATACTAATATGCATCTGAAGATGTTATGATGACAAACACATGACATTGGAGCTTAGTGATAGGTCCAATGCATTCTTATCTTTTCCCTTGCATTTCATAGAGCTTCTTGTTAGGCTCGGGGCAAACTGAGACCAAGAGATGAACTCAAGGCAAACGTAGTTCATGCTTTTTTTGCATGAAATCATGAACTGTGTTACCCAAGAGATTTTGCGAGTTTGTTTGTGTTATGTGCTAGAGTTCTTGCGTCATGGGAATGAAATATAAATGATAAACGGATAGGGGGTGGAATTTTCCCTTCTCCCTTGTTTCTTCTGAGTTGTTTCTTGGATATCTTATTAGTTTAACAAAGCTCCCTTTTATGATAAGGATTACGTGGCATGAAAATGGCTAAACCAAGGGAAATCCTAACTAATCACTTCCTAATATAGAATAACTAATGACGGTTATAAAATCAAGTTAGAATAAAACAAACCAAGCAAACCAATTAGCTATTACTCATTCTTCTACTTAATTGCCCTTTTAATATTATAGCATAGCACGCATCATTGTTGATATTTTGATTCTTTAAACGTAAATGATGCTTATCGTAGAAGACTATAGATAGACATAAGAGACAGATCAACTTCCGCCTGCTGCCACAGTGAAATGTTCATTACTGCCCACTTGTGTTGACAATGATGGGCCACTCACGAAAAAACAAAGTTCTTTTTGGACCACGGTGACTAGAAGTAACATGCCTAACAAAAATATGGAAGGAAAAAGCAGCAGGAGATGGTTCCTAACATTATGCGCCAGGCCGCAGAAGTAGTGACACAACTTTATTTATTTATTTATTTATTATTATTTTATTCTTTTAATTTGTTTTCTTGTTTCCAAGTCTAATCATCTCATTGAATAAATTTAGTTGCATTTACATTTATCATTTATTTCATTTCATTTACTCATAATAAAAAGTTAACGATTGAGCAAACTTGCAAGGACTCTTACATAACATTTCAACGTGTTATGTTGCTGGGCTAGAGCTCGCGTCAACCGGCAGTTGGTGAGGGCAGAGAGATGGGATTCTTCTATTTTTGCAGGTAATAACGAAAAATAAGGGAAGACAAGGAAGGAGATAAAACTTCAGGAATTTTATGGAGTTCCTTTCTCCTTGATTAAGTACTTAAGTCTGGCTTGTTTATTATTCAAAGCAGGACTCCCTACTTATGGTAAGGGTTACAAGAACCAATAAGGATTACATTAAATCAATTCTTAAAAAAGACTCATCTAATGATGGAAAGCAATAAAGTTGCAGATCAAAAGCGGATGGGGACCTAGCCGCAGCTAGGGTTCTGAGTTTGGTCGCGTAACTTTTTATGCAAGTTCCACGGTCGTTTCACGGCAATTGGCAGAAGGGAATCGGTGGAGGAAGTCCCGTTTCTTGTTTCTCGACATGGAGGACGGTTTCACCACGGAGCAGTGGCGGAGCTGTATAGGTGCAAAGGTGTTCATATGAACACCTAGATTTGAAAAAAATAAGGTAGTATACATGTATAAATTTAATTTAATTATGTATTGCCTTTTCAAATTTTAATTATAGAAAATAAATGAACACCCATAGTTTGGAACATAGATCCGCCACTGCCAGGGAGGGAGTTGAGGTGCTAGCAAATGCATATGAGCAGTTGGATTTGGAAGAGGAACATGAAGTCCTAGTGGTTGAGCCGATGACGCATAACTCTTCGAAGCACAACTTGACTCTGATTGGAACTATTACTTCAGAAAAGTCGGTACGTTTCACTCAATTTAGAGATATTATGGCGTCTGTTTGGAAACCCGAAAAGGGTGTTACTATAACTGAAATCGGCCCTAGACGATATGCTTTTCAATTCTATAATGAAGAGGATATAAATAGGGTAGCAGATGAGGGACCACGACTGTTCGATCAGAACCTAATTGTTATGAGCAGATTGAAGGAGGGTGATATACCTATGTCTGTGCCGTTGAACAAAGCTGATTTCTGGGTCCAGGTTCATGATATTCCAGTGGGTTACTTCACCTTAGACAATGCGGAACGTATTGGGAATTTTCTGGGGACTTTTATAAAAGTGGATGAAAATAATTTCTTTGAGAACTGGAAATCTTTCATGAGGATTCGGGTTTGTATTGATCTGGGAAAACCCCTAAAAAGAAAATTGATTTTGCAAAAGGAGGAAGGTGTTAATTCCGCGTCAGGTTTTGTTACGAGAAACTGCCAAGCTTTTGTTTTCTGTGTGGAATAATAGGTCATGCTGAGAGTCACTGCCCTCGTAAGAGGAGGAGTTACGAGATAACAGGAGAGAGGCCGTTTAGGTCTTGGCTTAGGGTAGCGAAGGGGACAAAGTAGTGGAAAGAGAATAAGTAGCTCGTCCCAGCAGGTAAAGGCATCATTTCGAGTAGCCAGACCAACGATGGAATTAGTGAGGAAGGCAAACGTTCAAGCATCTTGGAAGGCGGGCCCTCAACAAAAGAGAGAGGGAAGCTCGAGCAGAAGCGCAGACGTGTGGAGGATTCGGAAGTTTACCAGACGGAAGAGGAGATGGAGTTAGTACAGGCCGGGGGGGAAAACGGGGAGGAGGCGAGCTACAATTTTATAGCTCGCCAGGCACAAAACTGACAACAGCTCTTTCACAGCATGGGGGAACAAATAAGGCTGAAGGCCATGAAGTCTTTATTATTTATTACGCTTTTTCATTTTTGTATGCTCATGTCGTTTTTTGTTTCTTTCAGAACTCTAGAGGCAGGTTGTTGGTTTGTTTCTTAGTTTTTACTCAGAACTTTCGCGTGGGTGGAAGCGTTAAGGCTAAAGATGCTCAAATTCGCAATTGGATATTAGGGTCACTCGATCCTCATATTATTCTTAACCTATGCCCCCATCGCACAGAGCCATGTGGGCTTATCTACGACAAGTTTATCATCAGGATAATGCAGCCCATCAATTTCAGTTGGAGTTGGATATTTCTAACTTTCAACAAGGTTCCTTAACTGTTCAGCAATACTATTCCAGTCTTTTAGATCTTTGGACTGAATATATCGACTTATGCCTCGCTAACGTCCCTGAAACTGCTGTTGAGCCTCTTTGGGATATGTTACAAGCACGGCAGCGCAGGCAGTTCTTGATGAAACTGCGCTCCGAGTTTGAGAACACTCACTCCTCTTTAATGAATAGGAATCCAGTTCCGTCTCTGGAAGTTTGCCTTCGGGAACTACTTCGTGAAGAGCAGCGTCTACTTACCCAGGCTACCTTGGAACAAGGTCACACTCCTGTTGCTTATGAGTGCCACACAGTGTTATTCTTGCAAGAATTACGGTCACATTGCGCAGCATTGCCCTAATAAGGTATGCAGTTATTGCAAGAATTTGGGACATATCATCAAAGATTGCTCTATTCGTCCACCCCGCAGAAAAAATACCGCATATCAGGCTACCACAAAAGTTGTGGTCACTTCTCCAAACGTGTCAAATACTCCCGTCTCTACTTCTGCCACTTCTATTACACCTGAAATGGTACAGATCATAATTTCTGCTTTCTCAGCATTGGGAATTCAAGGTAACTCTTTACCCTATTCTAATTGGTTTCTAGATTCTGGAGCCTCCAATCATGTGACACATTCGGTACATGGACTCAATAATATCCGCAAATATGAAGGTTCTTTATCTATTGAAACTGCCAATGGTAATAAGCTGCCTATTACCGCAATTGGTGATATTTCTCATCGGGTTAAAGATGTATTTGTTTGTCCCAAATTATCTACAAGTCTTATCTCTGTTGGACAACTTCTTGATGATAGATGTGACGTGAAATTCTCTTGTGATGGTTGTCTTGTGCAGGATCAAGTGTCAGGGGAGCTGATAGCGAAGGGGCCTAGGATTGGACGTCTTTTTCCTTTACACTTTCCTAGATATAACTCAGTTTCTGCTTTTGCATGTAATAAAAATTCAGGATCGGTGTGGCATAGGAGACTTGGTCATCCGAATCCTCGAGTTCTTTCTCATTTGTTACGTCTTGGTCTTTTGGGTAATAAAGAGAATATGTTTTCTCATTTTGATTGTGAATCATGTAAACTAGGCAAAAGCAAAGTTCTTACTTTTCCATCTAATGGTAGTCATGCTTCCCATTCTCCTGTTGTGTCTCATTCTCATCACAAATACTTTGTTACCTTTATTGACGATTATAGTCGTTACACTTGGATATATTTTCTTCGATCGAAGGCTGATGTTTTCAGAACATTTCAAAACTTTCTTGCCTTGGTAGAAACTCAATTTTCCACAAGTATCAAAGTTCTTCGTACTGATTCTGGTGGGGAGTATATGTCTCATGAATTTCAAACATTTCTTGAATCTAAGGGAATCCTATCTCAACGATCATGTCCTTATACTCCTCAACAAAATGGTGTTGCGGAACGAAAAAATCGTCATCTTCTTGATATCGTTCGGACCTTACTTATAGAATCCAAAGTTCCTACTCGATTTTGGGTTGAAGCTTTGTCTACAGCAGTTTACCTAATAAACCGACTTCCATCACAGGTCTTGGAGTTTGAATCACCTTATTTCTGGCTCCATAAACGTCATCCAGTGTACACTAATCTTCACCCTTTTGGTTGTGTGTGTTTTGTTCATCTTCCGCCCACAGAACGTCATAAACTTTCTGCCCAGTCTGCTCGTTGTGTGTTTCTGGGATATAGCATTAGTCAAAAGGGATTCATGTGTTTTGATCCGCAAGAAAACAAGTTGCGAGTCTCCAGGAATGTTATATTCTTTGAAAATCAGTATTTCTATCATACTTATTTTCCTAATAACTCATCTTCTGTCATATTAACTACGTTTGAAAGTGTCTCTAGTCCTCCTAGCTCCAGGTTCAAAGGAATAGTGTATGCTAGACGCCGTCTGCCAGACTCTTTGCCACCTCCTTCCCTGCCAT